TGTAGACAAGCCCTGGGATGCACATTAGAAGTGGCAGAGAGACAGGGGGAAGGAGGTAAAAAAAGCACAGGGCGAGACGGCTCACAATGCACGGAGTGGGAGAGAGACAGATGGGACAAAACCCACTAGAACAGGGACTCCTTGTCTCTTCCATTCTAGGAAGCACTTTCCAAGGGAGAGACAAATCCCCTCCCTGATGCTAAACTGGGACTGACTGGCTCAGGGCAGCCCAGCTGGATCAGTCCAGGAACCAGAGCACTCTGGGAAACACCGAGGGAAGAGGCAAGTGTGCCACATTTGGGTGAAGAGAACATCTTGTGGACACTACCCAGAAAGTTTGAGATGGCCCAGCCCCACTCCCCTTCCAGTCACAGCTCCAGGTTTGCTATAACAGTCCTTTTCATGCTCCCATGCCTGGACACCCACCAGGAAGCTGTGTTTGGTTCCCACACACTGGCCCCTTGTGCTGTTGAGTCAGAGCAGCATTCAGGCACTACTCTGGCTCTGGGTTTCTAGGCCCACTCTGGGATGAAGCTTCCATACTAGCACCTCCCACTAGGAGCGGAGACCTGCACACGAAACACCAAGGTCCTGAGACTAGTTTTGGCCCATCTCCTGCAGACTCTTCAATTGCTTCAGCACATTCTTCCCAGAGGTCCCCTTGGGCCCACTCTTTTTGCAGTTTCTCTCTTTCAGGGCACACAATCATTCAAGCAAACACACCCAGGCCTTGCAAAAGGGGTTGCTAAAACAATTCCTCTACTTTAGACAGGACAAGAGATATCCAGTGTGGTGAGTCCCTCCCTGGCTGCTAATTGGAACTGGGGTACAGTTCAGACCTCTGTCTCACCAATATGGGGTCCCTCTTGCACTGTGATGTTGTGACAACCTGGAAAACCCTCCAAGCTTGCACTCACACCAACATCCACAGGCAGAGACCACATCCAGACGTGCTCATGAATGCTCTGGGCAACCACTCATGAACTCACATAGGGAAGCTCCAGCCAAAATACCCCCAGCTCCCTAGCCGAGGATGCCAGAGTTGTACTGTCCATTCCTGGTCAAAAGCCTGACCACTATGCCTTTATTACCCATTTCACCCCTCCCTTGATGTGAAGAGGACCCTGCAAAATCATTTGTTAAATGAGCTGAGGTTTTCCCCAAATTTTAAGCAAACCACACTGTTTTAGGTAAAATATAAAAAACAGCTTTATTGACTAGATAAAGATAAATTTTAAGTGACTATAAGTAATGGCAGATGACTAAGAGCAATGGTCTCAAGTTCCAGTGGGGGAGGTCTAGGTTGGATATTAGGAAACACTATTTCACTAGGAGTGTGGTGAAGCACTGGAATGCTTTACCTAGGGAGGTGGTGGAATCTCCTTCCTTGGAGGTTTTTAAGGCCCGGCTTGACAAAGCCCTGGCTGGGATGATTTAGTTGGGAATTGGTCCTGCTTTGAGCAGGGGGTTGGACTAGATGACCTCCTGAGGTCCCTTCCAACTCTGATATTCTATGATTCTATGAATAGCAATCAGATCAAAGATGGTTACCTGAGAAATAAAGAAAATCACAGTCTAAGTCTCATACTCATAGACTCAGGCTAGGTCTACACTGCGGGGCGGGGGGGGGGTTCAACCTAAGATACGCAACTTCAGCTACATGAATAGCGTAGCTGAAGTTGCGTATTTTAGGTCGACTTACCTGGCTGTGAGGACGGTGGCAAGTCAACCGCTGCCGCTCCGCCGTCGACTCCGCTGCCGCCTCTTGCCGCGGTGGATTTCCGGAGTCGATGGCAGAGCGATCAGGGATCGATTTTATCGCATCTTCACTAGACGCGAGAAGTCAATCCCCAATAAATCAATTGCTACCCGCCGATCCGGCGGGTAGTGAAGACGTGCCCTCATAGACTTTAAGGTCAGAAGGGACCATTGTGATCATCTAGTCTGACCTCCTGCACAATGCAGGCCACAGAATCTCACCCACCCGCTCCTGTAACGAACCCCTAACCTATACCTGAGTTATTGAAGTCCTCAATAAGTGTATTTAGTCATACACTAAATTGGATTTGAACCAAGCAATGTGTCACCATGTTAGATAGTACCATCAGTCCATTAGGCTTCCATACACAGGCTAGAAATCACTTAAGCTTGGCACCAGCACTTCCCACAGTTCAGTCTTTGTTCCTCAGGTGTTTCTGTGTGGGCAGTGAGGCCACTTGTTTATGGCGCTGCCCCTTTTATAGTTTCTTCAATATGATGGGAATCCCTTCGGTCCAAGCCAATTTCCCAGCACAGTTTTTGGAAGGCTCACCAGGTGGAGGATTAACTTTTCCTATGGCCTATCTTTTCCCTTAATAGCCCGTTATCTGGAATAGACCCTTCACAATTGGCTGTCTAGACTGGAAGCATCTTGCCCTGTGGGTGTCACCTAGGTGTAACCACATTTGGAATAAAGATACATACTCAATATTAATAACTCCAAACACAAACATGATACATGCATACAAATAGGATAATCATATTCAGCAAATCAGAACATTTTGTAAAAGAATCATCAAAATTATGTCATAATAATACCATAATCATATCACTGTGATGAATATGGTACGCAGAGTGTCACACGCAGGTCTAGGTAAACACAATATGACACCTGCCTGCCATTCCTTGCCTCAGTATCCTCACCACCCTGGAGCATTCTTTGGGATTTGGTCAAAGCTCTCTAGGGTATCAAGGGGCCACCTTATGCAACTCAGGACTTCCTCCAGCTGGAGTCTGGCTCTCTGCTGCAGCCATAGCCCTGCAATCAAAGAGTCCCCTCTCCCATGCTTGTGCTGTTAACAGGGTTTCCTCCCATCTGGATTTTACCCGGACAGTCTGGTTTTTGGCTTCTGTGTCCAGGTGCCATTTAGGGTTGCCAAGTACCAGGTTTTCAATGGGAAAGTCCAGTGGAAAAGGGGATCTGGCAGTGTCCAGTTATTGCAGGGCTGGGGGAGGTGCCAGGTCATTCACCCCATCAGCAGCTGCTCAGCTGAGACTGCCTCCTATCTGCAGGCTGGCTCCTTCTCAGGCTGCAGCATCTCCCATCCCAGCCCCGGAGCAGAGGGAGCTCAGCTGGTCAGGGCCATCGTTTAGGGGGTGGGGGTGGCTCTAGTCCCACCTGAGTTTTGTACCCGAGGTCTGCTCACAGCAGACGCCCTAGCCCCAGATGGAGCTCTTAACTGCAACACAGCTTGAGAGTGATATGTGATGAGTGCAGTGCTTCTCCCAGCTTCCATCTGTGGGGCAGGGAATTTGTTCAGAAACAGAGGCAGGATGATTAAATAACAAAAGGCTTGTCACTAAACTAAGTTAAGGATCATTAGATGAGATTGGAAGCATTGCAAGGCACTTAAAAGATCAGAAGCAAAGGGTAGGAATAAATGGTGAGAATGGAGAGAGGTAAATAGTGGTGTCCCCCACGGGTTTGTCCTGAGACGAGTCCTATTCAACACATTTATAAATGACCAGAAAATGGGGTAAACATTGAGGTGGCAAAATTTGCATATGATACAAAACTACTCAAAATAGTTAAGTCCCAGGCAGACTCTGAAGAGCTACAAAAGGATCTCTCAAAACTGTGACTGGGCAATAACATAGAAAATGAAAATCAATGTTGATAAATGCAAAGTAATGCACACTGGAAAACAAAATCCGAAACTATACATATAAAATCATGGAGTGTAAATTAGCTGTTATCACTCAAGAAAGAGATTTTGGAGTCATTGTGGATCATTCTCTGAAAACATCCACTCAATGTGCAGCGGCAGTCAAAAAAGCAAACAGAATTTTTGGAATCATTAAGAAAGGGGTAGATAATAAGGCAGAAAATATCGTAATGCCTCTGTCATAACTATAAAGGGAAGGATAACAGCTCTCCTGTGTACGGTACTATAAAATCCCTCCTGGCCAGAGACTCCAAAATCCTTTTACCTGTAAAGGGTTAAGAAGCTCGGGTAACCTGGCTGACACCTGACCCAAAGGACCAATAAGGGGACAAGATACTTTCAAATCTTGGGGGGGGGGGAAGGCTTTTGTTTGTGCTCTTTGTTTTGGGGGTTGTTCTCTCTTGGGACTGAGACGGACCAGACATCAATCCAGGCTCTCCACATCTTTCTGAACAAGTCTCTCATATTTCAAATTTGTAAGTAAACAGACAGGCAAGGTGTGTTAGTCTAACTATGTTTTCTCAACTTGTAAATGTACCTTTTACTAGGGTGTTTACCTCTGTTTGCTGTAACTTTGAACCTAAGGCTAGAGGGGGATCCTCTGGGCTCTTTAAGTTTGATTACCCTGTAAAGTTATTTTCCATCCTGATTTTACAGAGATGATTTTTACCTTTTTCTTTAATTAAAAGCCTTCTTTTTAAGAACCTGATTGATTTTTCCTTGTTTTTAGATCCAAGGGGGTTGGATCTTGATCCACCAGGAGTTAGTGGGAGGAAGGAGGGGGGATGGTTAATTTCTCCTTGTTTTAAGATCCAAGGGGTTTGGATCTGTATTCACCAGGGAATTGGTGAAGAGTGTCTCAAGGTTACCCAGGGAAGGGAATTAGCATTGAGAGTGGTGGCAGCGGACCAGATCTAAGCTGGTAGTTAAGCTTAGAAGTTTTCATGCAGGCACCCACATTTGTACCCTAAAGTTCAGAGTGGGGAAGCAGCCTTGACAGCCTCTATATAAATCCATGATACACCCACATCTTGAATACTGCATGCAGATGTGGCCACCCCATCAATGGCTTTTAGCCAGGATGGGCACGGACAGTGTCCCTAGCCTCTGTTTGTCAGAAGCTGTGGATGAGCGGCAGGGAATGGATCACTTCATTATTTCCTGTTCAATTCCTTCCCTCTAGAGCAGCTGGCATTGACCACTGTCAGAGACAGGATACTGGCTAGATGGACCTCTGGTCTGACCCAATATGGCTGTTCATATGTTCTCTGCACTCCAGAAAACCAGAGGAAAACTTTAGGTCCCTTTATGAGTAAAGAGCCGGAGCAGCCTGTCCCGGATCTGTTTGGTCCTCAACCCATAGATGATGGGGTTTAGCATGGGGGACACCAGGAGGTACATGTTGGCACTGAGAACATGGAAATGTAGGGGCACATTGTGGCCAAATCGCTGTGTCAGGATGGAGAAGAGAGCTGGGATGTAAAAGGCTAAGATCACACAGAGGTGGGAGCCGCAGGTCCCAAAAGTCTTGAGCCAGGTGTCCTTTGAGGGGAGGCCTAAGATAGCCCTGAGAATCTGAGTATAGGACACGGTGATAAAAAACACATCCAGACCTGTGATGAACAATGCCAAAGACAGGCCATAGTAATTACTGGCACTGATGTCAGCACAGGCCAACTTGACCATAGATATGTGATCACAGTAGGTATGGGGGATGACGTTGGTTCTATAATAGGGACACCGCCTCGCCAGGAAGGGATTGGGTAGTACGAGTATGCTGCTGCGCAGCACCACAGTGAGACCGATCTTGGCCACCATGGGGTTTGTCAGGATGGTGGAATGTCTCAGGGGATTACAGATGGCCACGTAGCGATCAAAAGCCAAGGCCACTAGGATCCCAGATTCCATCGATGAGAAGCAGGCAATGAAGTACATCTGGGTGAGACAGGCACCGAAATCGATCTCCCTGGAATTGAACCAGAAGATGCTCAGCATTTTGGGCAGGATGGATGTAGATACAACCACGTCAGAGACAGCCAGCATGCAGAGGAAATAGTACATGGGCCTGTGGAGGCTCGGCTCCGTCTTCACGATGCACAGGATGGTGAAGTTCCCGAAGATGGCTATGGCGTACATGGTGCAGAAGGGGATGGAGATCCAGACATGGGCCGTCTCCAGGCCAGGAATTCCCAGCAGGATAAAGGTGGAGGGGTTGGTGAATTTGGTTATGTTGGAATCTGACATGGAGTAGGGGAGAAGGTGTCCAACTCTGAGGCTGAACGGTGTCTCCTGCATGTACCGTATGTTCCCCTGACTTCCTGTATGTGCCCAGGGTCTAGGGTGATGGTCACAGTACAAATGCCTGGATGGAGAAACAATGTTAATATTAGACACTACATGCACTACTGGAGGCTGTTGTCATGAGAGAAACAGATTGGTCACTCTTCACACACTGAAAATGACATTTTCGTTATTCAGATAAATTAATTATGAAAAAATTACCCTACTTATGCAAATTCCATCTTTTATGGTGCTCCGTGTGTAGGAAATGATAATAGGCACCAGCAGGAACCACTAGGGTGGATATGCCTTATAATGGGATAGACAATACACTGTTCTGGATATGTGTTCAGTTATGGTCACCCAGTCTCTATAAAGGATATAGTAGATAGAAAGGGTATTTCCAAGAAATTCTATGAGAATAGGAGAGGCTGCCACATGCAGAAAGACTGGAAAGGCTTGGACTGTTTCATTTAGAGAAGAGATACATAAGGGGGCGTATGACTGTGGAGAGGAAAATAAACAATGGAAGAGTTTACATTCAAATGGACAGAGAGAGAACAGTTCCCAACCAGTAATATCTAGAGATACTTAGTGCTTCAAAAGGCTAATTCCTCAAAGCTGAGGAAATCATCAGCAAAACTGATGGTGAGGAAAATACCCACTTCGTCAGATGCAAGTAGTAGAAATTTCCAGAGGCAGGCAAGAATCAGTCTAGAGATAATGAGAAAAACCTGTAGGAGAACACTTCAGTCTCCCTGGACACAGAATCGGAGATTTAAAGGTAGCCATCCTCCACCAAAAAAACTTCAGGACCAGACTTCAAAGAGAAACTGCTGAGCTTCAGTTCATTTTTAAATTTGACACCATCAGCTCAGGATTAAACAAAGACTGTGAATGGCTAGCCAACTACAAAAGCAGTTTCTCCTCCCTTGGTGTTCACACTTCAACTGCTAGAAGAGGGCCTCATCCTCCCTGATTGAACGAACCTCGTTATCTCTAGACTGATTCTTGCCTGCATATTTATACCTGCCTCTGGAAATTTTCACTACATGCTTCTGACAAAGTGGGTATTCAACCCCGAAAGCTTATGCTCCAATACGTCTGTTAGTCTTTAAGGTGCCACAGGACTCTTTGTCACTTTTTACAGATCCAGACTAACATGGCTACCCCTCTGATACTTGATTAAATAGCTAAAAAGTCACGATACCACAGTCATGAATATGGACAAATTTGGCTAAAAACCCACTCCAGGGGCAAAGTGAAGGAAGCTAATGTGGGGCGGGGGAAAGCAATATATAAAATATATAAAAATGGGGGGATATCAGGAATATAGATAGCAAGAACTACAAATTAGTAGTTATGATTGATAAAGGACGTTAAAGACATCAGGGAAAAATCAGTGCTTGGCACGGCTAAGGAGGTTATTAAGTATTTTAACAACAAACGAAATCCTAGAAAAGGTTTAGGCAAAATTCTAGAGGGAGAAAGGAAACTTGTTAATGTTGCAGAAAAGGTAGATATATTTCATATATATTTTTGTTCTGCATTTGGAAAGAAGCAGTATGATGTACTCATACCACATGAGGTGATGAAATACTTTTCAGTCCATTAGCAATCAAAGAGAACATTAAAGAGCATCTACAGTAGAACCTTAGAATTACGAACACCAGAGTTACGAACTGACCAAACAACAACATGTCTCATTTGGAACCAGAAGTACACAATCAGGCAGCAGCTGAGCCAAAACAAACAAAAAAGGTAAATACAGAACAGTACTGCTTTAAATGTTAACTACTAAAAAGATAAAGGGAAAGTTTTAAAAAATTGAAATTTTATGAAACAATGGAAAAGCTGACATGGGATTACTTCAAAAAAAGTCTAGTAATATAATTAATGCTAATCAACAACATGGTTTATGGAGAAGTTGTCTTGTCATATAAACCTGATTTCATTCTTTAATTAGAGTACACATTTGGTTGACCAAGGGAACCGTGCAGATGTAATAGACATTGATTTCTCTGAGGCATTTGATTAACTAGGGGAAAACATTCAGATAAAAAATGAATTCTCTACAATCTCAGTAGCACATACATTAAATGAAATAAAATCTGGCCACCTGACAGATCTGAGAAAGCAGTTGTCAATGGGATGCTGTCAGCAAATGCGGCTGTTTCTAGTGGGGTTCTGCAGGGATCAGTTGTTAGGCCAATGTTATTCAATATTTTCACCAATGATCTGGAAACAAATATAAAATCACTGCAGATAAAATTTGCGCATGACCCAAATATTGGCAGAGTGGTTACAATGAGGCGGCCAAGGCAGGCACACTGATTGATCTGGAGTGTTTGGTGAGCTGGGCCATGCAAACAAAATATTTTAATACAGTCAAATACAAAGTGATCCTCTTGGAACAGGGAATGCAGGCAAGATCCATAGACTGGGGCACTGTATTATGGAAGGCAGGGACCGAGAAAATGATTTAGGGCTCAATGTGAGTAACCTAATCATTGTGAGCTCCCAGTGCGGTGCTGTGGCCAAAAGGGCTGATGCAATCCTCGGCTGCATAAACAGGGCAGTGGTGAGTTGTAGCCGGGGAAGGATTTTACCTCCGCACATGGCATTGGTGAAACTGACTGTGTCCAGTCCTAGGGTCCACATTTCAAAAAGGATGTTGAAAAATTGGAGTTGGTGAAGCAAAAAGCCACATAAATGATTCAGGGCTGGAGAAAATGACGGAGTGTGAGAGAAACTTAAAGAGCTTTATTTATTTATCTTAAATAGTAATATTGGGGTCTTTAATCTAGCAGAGAAAGGCAAAGCAAGATCCAAGTGCTGGAAGGTGAAGCTAGACAATTCCAGCTGAAAATAAGGATCAAATAGTTTACATTGAGGGTATGTAGAGAAACTGAAAAGAATCCAGAGGTGAGAGACAAAGATGATCCAAGGAACAGAACAGAAGCTATATGAGAAAAGACTGAAGGAACTGGGTATTTTTACTTTGGAATATAGAAGATTGAGGGGGACATGCCGGTGGTCTTCAGATACTTGAGAGGGAAGCCATATGACAAACGCTGAAGGAACTAGTTATGTTTAGTTTGGAAAAGAGGAGATTAAGTGGGGGCATGGTAGTGGTCTTCAAATACATGAAAAGCTGCCATAAAAAAGCTGGAGAAAAGTTGTTCTCTCTTGCCACAGACAAGAAGCACTGAGTTCAAACTACAGCATATCAGATTTAGACTAAATCTCAGGAAAAACGTCCTAACTGCAAGAAGAGGAGGACAATGGAACAGATGCCACAGGAGGTTATGGAAACTCCTTCAAAGGAGGATGTCAAAAGGAGGGAGTTTGCCTGGGAGCTGTCCGAGAGGACGTACGCTAAGTGCTGCATTAGGGGGGCTGTGGTGGTGAGTATCTGAGTGTCTGTTGCTGGGACAGTTTGTCAGTTTGACCGTGTGCTTGATTGCTTGCTTGTTTGTTTGAAAAGTGTGAATTGGGAGTGCTTTGTTCCAGGTGGGCCTTGAGTGGGCCAGACTGGTATATAAGGGCAGTCAGCAGCGAACCAGCTGAGCGGCGAACAGCAGAGGCTAACAGAGGGATAACTCACATGACTGGAGTACTGTCATGGATGGATATAAACTGTTCAGGAAGGACAGGCAGGGCAGAAAAGGTGGGGGAGTTGCGTTGTATGTAAGAGAGGAGTATGACTGCTCAGAGCTCCGGTATGAAACTGCAGAAAAACCTGAGTGTCTCTGGATAAAGTTGAGAAGTGTGAGCAACAAGGGTGATGTCATGGTCGGAGTCTGCTATAGACCACCAGACCAGGGGAATGAGGTGGACGAGGCTTTCTTCTGGCAACTAGCACAAGTTGCTAGATCGCAGGCCCTGGTTCTCATGGGAGACTTTAATCACCCTGATATCTGCTGGGAGAGCAATACAGCGGTGCACAGACAATCCAGGAAGTTTTTGGAAAGTGTAGGGGACAATTTCCTGGTGCAAGTGCTGGAGGAACCAACTAGGGGCAGAGCTTTTCTTGACCTTCTGCTCACAAACAGGGAAGAATTAGTAGGGGAAGCAAAAGTGGATGGGAACCTGGGAGGCAGTGACCATGAGATGGTCGAGTTCAGGATCCTGACACAAGGAAGAAAGGAGAGCAGCAGAATACAGACCCTGGACTTCAGAAAAGCAGACTTTGACTCCCTCAGGGAACAGATGGGCAGGATCCCCTGGGAGAATAACATGAAGGGCAAAGGGGTCCAGGAGAGCTGGCTGTATTTTAAAGAATCCTTATTGTGGTTGCAGGAACAAACCATCCCGATGTGTAGAAAGAATAGTAAATATGGCAGGCGACCAGCTTGGCTAAACAGTGAAATCCTTGCTGATCTTAAACGCAAAAAAAGAAACTTACAAGAAGTGGAAGATTGGACAAATGACCAGGGAAGAGTATAAAACTATTGCTCAGGCATGCAGGAATGAAATCAGGAAGGCTAAATCACACTTGGAGTTGCAGCTAGCAAGAGATGTTAAGAGTAACAAGAAGGGTTTCTTCAGGTATGTTAGCAACAAGAAGAAAGTCAAGGAAACTGTGGGCCCCTTACTGAATGAGGGAGGCAACCTAGTGACCGAGGATGTGGAAAAAGCTAATGTACTCAATGCTTTTTTTGCCTCTGTCTTCACGAACAAGGTCAGCTCCCAGACTGTTGCACTGGGCAGCACACTATGGGGAGAAGGTGACCAGCCCTATATGGAGAAAGAAGTGGTTTGGGACTATTTAGAAAAACTGGATGAGCACAAGTCCATGGGGCCAGATGCGCTGCATCCGAGGGTGCTAAAGAAGTTGGCGGATGAGATTGCAGAGCCATTAGCCATTATTTTTGAAAACTCATGGAGATCAGGGGAGGTCCCAGATGACTGGAAAAAGGCTAATGTAGAGCCCATCTTTAAAAAAGGGAAGAAGGAGGATC